GGGGAAAGGAGAGAATGGGATTTTTTAATGTTTTTTTAAATGAATATGAAAATAATTATAAAATATAGGTAGAATTTAATATCTACAACTTTAATAGAAATATTATCTGATTTTTTGGGAAAGAGAAAATGAATGCAAGTTTAATATTTTTTTTGAAAATTTGTGAGAGAGATTAGGAGGGAGAGATTATGAAATATTTTGTTATTAAATAATAAAATCAGTCCATAGTTTTTTTTTAATCTATTTTGTAAATAAAAAATCAATAAATTTTGGAAATTGATTAATTGTCCCATTAAAGTGATTTAAATTTTGATAAATATACATAAAAAATAAATAATTATATTATTAAATCATATATTCAAATTATAGAATTTATATCTTTGTTTAGAGATCTATAGGCTAAATTCTTATTTTTTTTATTTTTATTTTTGTGTGTAACCCATAGTATATGGGAGAAATTCAAAAGGGTGTTGAAATAATTAGAGAAGAATGTCAAAGAAGATTGTGGGTTGGGAAGAGTCAATAAATGTTTGAGGTTGGGTTTGGGAGAAGTCAATAAATGCTGAGGGTTTTCTTTTTTAAAATTGATTAATTTGGTCCCATTAAGTGATTTAAATTTTGATAAATATACATAAAAAAATACATCAATTATATTATTAAATCATAATTCACAATTTAGATGTTATATCTTTTTGAGATCTATAGCTAAATTCTTATCTTTTTGTATTTTTATTTTTGTGTGTAACCATAGTATATGGAGAAATTCAAAAAGTGTTGTAATAATTATGAGAGAAGTCAAAAGAGATTGTGGGTTGGGAGAAGTCAATAAATGTTGAGATTGGGTTAGGAGAAGTCAAAAATGCTGAAATTTTTTTTTAATTCCAAAAAAATTAGAAAATTAGGATTAGGAGATTGGAGCTCCATAGGCGCTTGGGTTAAAAACCCTCTTTTTGCTTAATATATAGTATAGATAAGTATAGATATAGATAGATAGATAGATATATCTTTTTATTTTTAATTTTTATTTTGTGTGGTTTCTATTCGGGTATTTTTTTTTTCAATTTATTTAAGATGGAGTTGTGGGTATCTTTTTTTTTTTTTAATTTATTTATCTGTGGTTTCCAATTGTTTTTAATTATTATTATTTAGGTAAGTTATGAATGTGCGTTAATATTTGATAGGCATGCGAGTTTTATTGATTTAAAGTTTATTCAGATAAGATTTAAAGTTTATTTAAATAACTTAAAGATTTTTTTTAGTTTTTTTTTGTTTGTTATAAAATAAGATATAAATATAGGTAGATATCTACAACTTTAATAAAAAATATTATTGAATTTTTTGGGGAAGTGAAAAAGGAATGCAAGTTTTAATATTTTTTTTTGAAAAAATTTGTGAAAGAACGATAGGAGGGAGAGATTATGAAATATTTTGGTTATTAAATAAATAAATCAGTCAATAAATTTTTTAATTTATTTTGTAAATTAAAAATAAATAAATCAGTCAATAGTTTTTTTTAATCTATTTTGTAAATTAAAATCAATAATTTTGAATATTGATTAATTTGTCTAATTAAGTGATTTAAAATTTTGAATAGATATACATAAAAAATACATAATTATATTAATTAAATCATAATTTAAATTTAGATGTTATATCTTTTTGAGATCTATAGCTAAATTCTTATTTTTTAAAAAATTTTTTGTTTGTAACTATAGTGTATGAGGAAGAAATTGAAAAGGGTGTTGCAATAAATTATGAGAGAAGTAAAAAAGGATTTGTGGGTTAGGAGAAGTCAATAATGCTGAGGTTGGGTTGCGAAAAGTTAAATAATGCTGAGGTTGGTTGCGAAAAGTCAAACAAATGCTGAGTTTTTTCTTTAAATCAAAAAATTAGAAAATTAGGATTAGGAGATTTGGAGCTCCCACAGGCCTTGGGTAAAAACTCCCTTTTGTTTAACATATAGTAATAGACTAGCCTATCACCGTGCTATGTACAGAATAATTATTGATATTTATATATTGTTTTAATTTTTTTAATATATAAATTATGTGTTTTAAGATTTTTTTATAAAAATAATTAATAATTCTTATCACTAACCATAGTGTACAGGAGAAATTAAAAAAACTACTGCATAGTATTATGCACGGCCTGTATCTATAATTATTTGTATGAGGGAATTTTAAATGCTAATCAAGAATTTTGACCAAATCAATAAAGCAGGCATTGTGGATTTGGAAAAAGTTAATAAATGCTGATCAGGATGAGATTTTGACCAAATCAATAAATGTTAAGTTTTTTTTTTAAAAAATCAAAAATTTAGAAAATTAAGATTGAGATATTGGAGCTCCTCACAGGCTTGGGGTTTAGAACCTCCTTTTACTTAAGTATATTTACAATTATCTCTATATATGAATTGTGATTTTAAATGTTTTTTTTTAAATGTCTTCTTTTTTCCTTTTTTATATTATATTAAAGTTTAATATTTTTGACAATAATCATATGTGTTGACTTTTCAAGTAATTAAATGTCTTCTTTTTTTATTATATTATATTAAAGTTAAATATTTTGATAATAATAATATGTGTTGGACTTCAAGAATTTTTTTATGCTTGTTTTAATGCATTAAAGTGTTATTATGAGGGATAATAATTATATGTGTTGGGACTTTTCAAAAAATTCATATGTGTTGGATTTCAAAGATTGTTTTTTTTTAACTTGTTCTTAATGCATTAAAGTGTTATATGAGGGTAAGACCTTGGCGGGTTGGGAGAAGTTAATAAATGTTAAATTTTTTTTAAAAAAAAAAAAATCAAAAATCAGAAAATTTAGATTGAGAGATTGCAGCTTTCACAAGGCTTGGGTTAAAAACCCCTTTTGCTTTATATATAGTATAGAGTATAGATATAAATTATCTATATA